ATTACTTAAATAGGTTCATTAGGCTAAACTAGATTTAATTTAGAAGGCATTTAAGTTGAATTTGGGATCACATGGATGGTGCCACTTGTGGCTGATCATGTGCTTAGCCAAATCAACCCTAAATGCTTCCTAAATCAAATTAAGATGCATGAGGGCACCTAGATTCACGGACTTGCACATGGGAGTGAAGATTTGAATTCAAATTTCAAATTTGAATTCAAATCTTGGCGCCACATGTGGTGTTTGAATCTTGGCTCCAAATGCTTCCCTAGCCGAGCCTATATATGCATTATCCTTCATAATTTGTAGACAATTTTGATGAATGAGAATTTCTGAATTTTACTTCAGCCCAAATTCTCTCAAAGGTCACCGAAATCTCACCTTTCCTAGTTCTAGGAAAACTTCCATTCCTAAACTTGAAAGTGAGCTTTCTTTTGGTTCTTGAGCTTGGATGATTCCATTCATAGCTTAGGGATCCTCTCCTACCATTACATTCATCTTCTTCCATCATTTAATCCGTAGCAGGCTCAAGGAAAAGGTCTTCACATTCGGAGAAGGTCACAAGAAGCAAGAATCCATCCATTGCTTCAACCTAAACTCCATCACTTAGTTTTTCATGTCATGTTAGTCCTTTAAAATGTCAAAAATATTCAAGATATGCTTGTATTCATATGCTAAACACTTTTGAGTTCTTTATAGTTTTGGCCGAGACTTGTTTGCTTTTAATTGTGCCTTGCTTGTTTGCTTTTCCATTTGCATATTTGAGTTCATGTTCATCACTAGATCATTGGTGAACTCTTAGTGTTAGGTTTCCATTGTGTACTTGAGTTTTCAAATTTACTTTCCATATCAATCTTAAATCAATCATTTGTATCTTGAAATTTTAAGTGAACTATTCTACTTCTAGTGCACTAATTGTTTTGGATTCAATTTTTAAAATTTTGCTTGCTAGAAAACAAAAAAAATATAGAGCATAACAAATCAAAATATTTATAAAAAAAAACAAAAGAATCCAACAAAAGTTCAAATTATAGTGCACTAGTTCTTCAATTTTCACTTAAAGTTAACCATTCTAGTAGATCCGGTTTCTATACTTTGGAATTGTGAAATTTTTGAAATAAAAAGGCAAGTGTCTTCTCTGGAAAACAAATTTGAATTCAGAAAAGAAAAAGGATTAAAAAAATATATATAAAAAAAAATAGCAAGAAAAAGCCGAGAAGAATAATTAGAAGAACATACACCTTATTTCACAAATCATTGGTCTACTAGTTTGCTTTTACTTCTCTAATTTCTTCCAAATCTTTTTGATTTTTAATCTACTCTAGTGCCTATCTAGGAATGTTCCTAATTGTGTGCTAGGCTTCTTTGGAGTCTTAATTTTTGGCTATCTTTGAGTCTTGTCTTAAACACCTTATTCTTCAACTTTTGGTATAAGCTTTCTAAATTGTACATTTGTTGCTTGTCTATTTTTCTTTGATTAAAAATTCTATGATGGAAGTGGCCTCAAATCCTTGCTTAAGGACCAAACATTGACTCAACAATAGTAGGAAAGGAGTTGACACAAAAATGACTTGAAAATTTGACCTAATTTAGTGACCGAAAACTCCTAAACCTACCATCACAAGAGTGATCTTTCCATCTACCTTGTGAGCAGCCTACATTCATTATTTGTTTGTGTTATTTGTGCAGGGTCCAGGAGCAACAACAAGCAAGGATTAGTGGCGGATTGGAGCACTTAAACAAGTGTTGAAAAACTTGGACAACAAATCCGTCACTAATTGGTCACTAAAGCCGCCACAAAATTTGTTCTAGTATAGTTTAAATTTTTGCAATTTTCTTTGTAATTCAATCAATTTCTAAAGCTTGGAGGGAGTATTAAGAAGCTGGTCAGGTATATTTAACCCTTGGTAGCTCACTCACGTGTTGTAAACCCATTCAACTCATTTACAATTAAGACATAATAAAAAAAATGTGATATCCAATAATTAAAAATAAAAATATTACTTGAATGTATTATATTTTGTATTTTATTTGAATTGATGAATAACTTGATAGAAAATTGTGACTCTTTTTATAAGAAAGGAAAAATAAAAATATTATTAATTTTTTTGTATTTTCTATTTTAAAAAATATGATGAGCGCACCCATCTAATTCCTAACTCATAATAGCTTGATTTAAATTAAGATTTTTTTTTACTCATTAGAAAATAAGTCAAATTAGATTAATCAACGATAGTCAATTTAGGTGAATTTACTTGGTTCACTTTGATACTTCTATCTACCATATTTTAGTAAACAAGTTCCGAAGTGCCAAATTATAACATTTTTTTTGTCCCAATGCTTCAAAATCTTAAGTGAGAGAATGGTTAAACTTAATAACTAATACATAAAATTCTTATAAAATATTCAAAGAAAATAGTATATGTTTATACATAACAAGCAAAAGACTATAAATTCTTACCAAAAATATTGATTCCTAAATGATTGTATATAGGGGAGAAGAAACCATCGACGAAGCGGATAAACCCCCATGTAACATAAAATGTTATTGCGATGGGAAAAAGGATGACACTGCAAATTACATTACATTCATCATAAGTGTATTAACAAATAATGCTTCATAAGGAGAATGACAACCAAAATTTGTAACTTTATAATGTGTATAACATTAGGAAAACTTACATTAACCTTCCTCTAAGTTTTCTTAAATAGATTGCGAAAAAACAAGCATCTTTTCATAGATAGCATAAAATTACACCTATATAATTATGATATTTTTCTTCATCTATATATGATCGAAAGACCATTTTATTTATAAGAAAAAAAGACATGCAATTAAAAAAAAAAAAAGACGAGATAGACATAAAAAATAAATCAACATTGTACTAGTGATACATAACAAATCTATTGAAATTTTTTAGTCCACAATAAAATTTTGCCTCTACAACATAAATTGGTTTTGTTTTCTTAAGAGCCATGGGATATAGAGCTGTTAGAAAACTTTGTGAGGGCCTCCAATAAATAATGTTTATTATTTAACAGGAAATGTGTGTGTTCCATGATTAATTAAACAAAAATAATGGATGTTACTTGATTTAACAAAAAAAAAATAATGATTATTTGTTTAAATACATTAGGTGTGAATGTCATTTGAGAAGACAATGGAGGAGGTACTTGTAATTTATCCATAACATTATAGTTGTTACTCGTGTCAATGTTCATAAACGTCATGAACAATTGATTTTTTAGGTTCTATTTGATACAAGAAAAATTATTAAACTTGTAATCTTTACCAACTCCCCTCCCATTTAACAACTATTTGAACTAAGTTTAAGTTTAGGTCTCGATTTATCTTTCACACACATGAATGATGAATCAAACCACACAAATATAATATAACACAATCAAGGTATGCTTATAAACATAAATCCAATTAGATAAGTTATTTTGTTAATAGGAACATGGTACATTTAATGATGCAACAAAGCAAAATAAATCATGTGATAATCAAAGTACAAATGAAACATACATACCATCCTGACATAAATTTTTTGGAGGCCCAACTGCGAATCACTTTGGAAAACGCCTGAAAATAAATTTTCATGTTGTGAAGTTAAGACAAGAAGGAAAGAAAGAAAAAAGGGCCAAGAATATTGGTGTGTTATGGCATCTTATTTCGAGGTTATTCACATGTGAAAGTACGTAGAGGATATATAAGAAGGATTGAAGGGAAAACTAGATATAAAAAAACCTCATGGCCATGGCCAGAATGATTTGGGGGTGAAATGACATTAGGAGATGAAGAATGGGAAGATGATTTAGAGGAACTATTTTCTGAAATGCTTGACACCGGAATCAAGAGCTCCAGATCTCTTGATGCCATCCTTTTCTTTTCTTTGTTTAATGTTTCTTTTTTCTCTCTCTCTTAGGGATCACTCAATTTGAGACTTAGGAATGGTCAGAACCTCATAACAGAACGTTAGAATCAACCAATAAAATCCATTTGGCTTGCGTTGAAATCGTCCTATAAACTCTAGTGTGTTGTGGGTTTAACTGTTTAAGATCTTATTTCATAATCATGTGGCATCTAGACTAATAACAAGTTAAACCACATTTATGTTCTACCTTACACAAAAATAAATATATAATACATTTTCTTTTGGAAATGTAGATATCTATATTTATATTTTCCTACAATTTTTCTATCATCTTATAAAGAAAATATTAAATAAAAATGCATTTAGTATTTTAAAAAATATATAAAATACATTCAATACTTACCATTCGGGGAAAAAACAAGTGGGAAGATTAGTAATAAAATGCTAAGGAAACAATAATATAATTTTAGTTTCAATATTTATTATAATTTTAGTTTTTAAAAATACAAAATACATTCAATACTTGCCAATTCAATTCTTATTAACTTTATTATAATTTTAGTTTAAAAGTTTATTCAACCTTACAAAGAAACAATATAATTTATTATGTTACTAACATGCTTATGAATTAATTATGTAAAATATTTTTTTTTTATCAAATCAATATAAATTATTATTTTAGAATGATAAAGCACACGTGTGCGTACATGCGTGTAGAAGAAATTATACATTTTTTTTATAGTCCTTTTGTTATTTGTACATGAGAGTGCTTGATTGGCATTTTTTATTGGACATTATATTTTCTTTTAAGAAAATCTTAGGTCATTTTGGTTTCATTTATAATTTTTTTTATACTTTAAGAGAATTAGTGAAATTGAAATACTCTATGTTTTAAAATGTGTTTAAGAATTATCAACATTTTCTTAAATTGGGTAGTGTTATAATTGATTCTCAAGTTTGAGTCTTGAGATTTTTTTTAGGTATATTCAACTTTTTTTGGTATATAGTCTTGAGTTTGATAATGGTAGTTAATTTTCAAAATTATTTTTTATTATTTAATAAATTAATGATAAAATCATCTAAAAATTATGGAATGAAAAAACTATTATAATCTTGTATTCCTTTTATATATAGATGTAGATTATAGTGTTTTCTTTCAAGCATGTAACCTACAATTTTTTATTAGTAAAAAAAGTTACAACAAACACAATAAAAATAAAACCTAAATATTCAAGAATCTACTCTAACCTTAAATTATTGGTGGCATTTATTATCCACATTTTAATTTTGATATTACTTTTTTTTTATTAAATAGTATTTTCAATCTTTGTCAATTTGTGTTAGTTAAAGACAATACTTATTGCAATTTTAGTAATAATGTATATATTTTTGTCTATTTCACTAATGAAGTGAGAGATTAATTTGATTCTCTTACTATACCATATATAGTTTATTATCTCTAGTAATTATGTAAAAAAAAAGGATTAAATACATGTTTAAGATGAGTTGAGCTTTTTCAAAAATACGCTCAAAATAAATAATAAAAAGAGGTTTACTTTCCAGTGTAGTTTCAAAAATATTTTTAAACATAACTTAATCCCCTTTCATATATTATATTTTATGGCAATCTTTGAGAACTTCATATTAATAACTTTATTTTAAATGATAATTTATGGTGTTAAAAAAACAAAAGAGATAGAAAAGCTATGGAAAAGTCATACACCAAGAAGTGATGCACGCAACAATAATATAAATGTTAACTTTTCTTTTCTAAATAATTTTTTTAACATGATAAAATGTTAACTTTTTTTTCTTCAAAATTTGGATAGAACCAGCTAGTTGAACAAGTTAGATCGAAAATAAATCAAGTCATTATTAACAAGTAACAACTAAGGGAATTAGATAAATAGAGAACAAGTCGACAATAAAAATTAATTGTTAATTGTTAAAAATTAGGTGAAAATAATTGTAATATACTTATATTTATTTATGCAACTACAAGAGAATGCTGATTTTAAAACTTATATCATAATTTCATAATGTATTTGATTTTAACTTTAACACCTTAATTTAATATTTTATTATACTTTAATTATTAAATATTTTAATTTAAAAAATTATTGATAAGTGTATGATGATTTATTTATTGTTGCGTGTCACACAATTTTTTTTTAATTCATAATACTTATATTTATGTTTTTAAAAACTAAAATAGGTGAATTATGACTAATAATTTTTACTTTTATTATTTTGTGATATATATAATATTAGTGTATTAATAATTTTGTCACTTTTTAAATTTTTAATCATAAGTTACTTTTCAATATTTTTGTAATAGACATAATGTTGTTGATATCATATAACAATGCATTCAAATATAAATATTCAACAAATATATATATATATATATATATATTAATTAAAATGCAAGTATTTTCGTAACAATACGTTTACAAACATAAACCTTCATCGACATATATTTCAAAAATGTAAATAACTTTGTAATAATACGTTTTAAAAAATATAAATAACTAATTCAATTTTAATCACTTATAATATAACTTTTTTTATGTAATATATTTTTAAATATTTTAATTAAATTATTTTTTAAAATAAGCTCTTTATATAATAACTAGTAGAAAAAGAAGGACTTCATACCTCTATATATTTATTTTTGAAATAATTTTAAAAAAGATAATTGTTAAATCTAAAAATATAGTGTCCAATACAAAAAATGAAAATAAAAAAGATAGTTACCAAAACTTATCCTTTATAATAGATAAGACCACTTTATAATAGGCAACATATGGTAACTAACTTATTAATTTTTATGAAATGTTTCATTTTTATAATTATGGTAACTTTTTTTTTAATTATTATGATTTTATAATTTTTCCCGTAAACATCTATCATAATAAGAACAATAATAATAAATTATTATGTTATAATAATAATAATAATAAAATAATAAAAAATTATAGTTATGTTTTTATATTTGTTGTCCTTTGAGTATAAATGTAATAAGTCATAACAACTACAATTAACTTAATGATCGAAGGAAAGGATTAAAGTAGAAATAAGAAGGCCTAAATTTCATCATCATTATGTCTTTATAATTTTTTTATGAATAAAAATATATAATGATTCTTAATTAGCAGAAAAAAAAAAGTTTCTTGAGAATTGACGTTTAAAAATTGTATGGTTAGTGTTACGAATTAAATACTATGCATACATGTGACATAAGCGGCGAATTTTTATTATCTTTTTCGAAGGTTATTTTTACCCACATGATGACTCCATAACATATATTTATGTCGGTTACAGAATCATAGAGTTAAACAAAATAATGCATATCTTTCAATATGGGTGTTTTCCAAAGGAGAGAGAAAAATATGGTGTCGGTTTGCATCTTATGCTTGGCTGATATCTACAATGGACATTAAACCCATGCATTCCAAGAAAAGTCCTGTTGAAGTTTAATTTGTCAAAAAATAATTTTTGTAACAAATAATTTATTATACCAAATGAAAACATTTCGAAAATCAAAGATAAGAAAAAATACACACATACATGGACCCGGGATTTTGAATGATGACTCAATACACATACCTAAACCACACACCACAGTACACACACAAAGAAAGCACCAATTTGCTTCTTATAAAGACATTAAAAAAAAGGTCACACTACAAATAGAGGAAGATCTTCCTCTGTACATGCACACTCTCCTATTACAGAGCACTCTAAGAACCAGGGCATTTCTTAGCAACTAAGAGAGAATAAATAAATCAACAAAAAGTAACCTGCTTTATCTACTTTCTTGTTTGTTAGGTTTAGGCATTTCCACCAGCATAAAGACAACTGTTGTAACCTACAAAATTAACAAAGAGCAAAGATTGTAAAGTAAGAATGTCAGTTTAATCGGATGGATGATCAAAGCAGTAAATTTCACTAGATTAAATCAACGCATTTAGTAACATAAAATCAATCACACATAAACCACATCTTCACATTATCCTTCCACAAATCTGCTGTATAAATCAGATATACACAAGACACAGTCATAACTTTTACTAGAAAGTAAATCATGCTACATGATTGCAAAATCATTATAAAAAAAATAATAAGTACTAAGGAGGAAGAGAAAATGATCTACAATATCAAATTTTCATGCAATGCGTGTATAGAGTGGTGTTATGAATAAATTTTTCTTTTCCATGGAAAAGATCAACATAGTGTTTCAAAATTGATAACAAAAGACTACTTACGGGACGTGACTTCTATTTCTATTGGTCAAACATTATTTTAACTTTGATGGATATCGATCCTAGAAGTATTAGGTCATTCTACCGTGTCCTAGGACAAGCTTTACAACAATTGGACATTTGGACCCAAAGGATTGGGTAGAAAAACATACTAAGTATAGATGGAATGGGAACTTACTTGGATTATTGGTTGATAACATGGCTGTCTGTGAGAAATCACAAGTCAATGGATTCCGTCCAGTAGTTTGAAACAATAGATTCATGGCATACGCAGCATGGTTTAGTAAAGTGTTGGGTTCAAAACAAACCCCTCCTTGTTGAATTGCGGTACAATCAATCCCCTGCCCACAAGCATAATCCAAATTTGCTTGTAACTGTGCATCTGTTACTCCTGCTTTTGGCACACACCATGTTGCTTTACTATTATTTGTTTTGGTAGGACTTGGAACTGTTGGCTTTGGAGTCACGGGAGATTTTGACGCATCCGGAGTAGTCTTCAATGAAATTAACAAACATATTATATTAAGTACCACTAGCTAGAACAGCACTAAGATGAGAACTGTGAACATGATTAAAGATTGCAAAATGGTGGCTTCATGTCCACTCAAGATTTCTGCTTTATTTGGCGTTGGACCCGGGCCTGTTCTCGCTGGAACCACCGGAGATTTTGATGTCTGACCCGGGTCTGTTGGTGCTGGAATCACTGGAGATTTTGACACTTCCGGAGTCTTCAATCAAATTAAGAAATACATTGTTAAACACTACTAGACCGTAACGTAAGTCTAGAACAGCTTCAAGATGAGAACTATGAAGAAAGTGATCAATGCTTCCATTCATCAATTCAAGTTGGCTAATAATTAATGACAGTATTAATGGCAACATAAGATAAGAGTTAGGAGAGTATGATGAGTGATAACAGAGTTGGTTCATACCGGGGCAACCGTAGGCACGGGGCTAGTGGTTTGTTGCTGCTTGGAGAGGCCAGCATCATAGATCATGGTTTGATCAGGGTTGAAAAGACCAAAGGCTCTCTCAGAAGCAGATCCAGGCTTCAAGTCCTCATCGTACAAGGCGAAGAGGTACGTGTCCACTGATTTCCCTGGCATCAAAGGGGTCCCAACCATGGATCGCAGGTGCGCAATGAGGTTACCGTTGTAAGCCTTAGCATTCTCAAGACTTGGACCAGCCTCATCGTTGTCTCCTTTGTAGGGCCACCCTGTCTCCGCAACCACAATCTCAACATTCTTAAACCCCAAAGCATCCAAAGCAGATCGAACTGCATCCACCTATCCACACATACTCAACAAAATCAACATCAACCATCAGCATGCACATTATTCGCTACTACGTACCCATCATCATGATCGAAAGCATCAAAAATCACAAATTACAATATTTCTGCTTTGAATTGTCACAATTACTACTCACTTTATATAACTAATTTTAAGTGTCTACAAAATATAATTCACTTAGGACAACTAAAATAAACAAGACACGATACTCATCACCCATATTACTCAAGTTTTCTTTTTTACTTCTTAACTTTCTTTTTATTGGAAAAATGTAAATCTCACATTGACTAAATATTAGGCAATTAATTAGTATATAACTGAAAAACAGTCTTCACTTTACAAGCCGATTTTGTAGAGTTGAGTTAGGTTTAAATCTATTATTCTAAGATAGTATCAGAGTTATCCTAGATCCTTCAAAGGAGTCACTCATATATTAAGCCCAACATTGCTCGACAACTCAAATCTACTATTCTATGAAATATATTTTCATCGGATTAGAAATCAGAATATTTCATAAACTTTCCTTAATTTATATAACTTATATTGTATACCCTTTTTTTCTCAATCAATCAAAAAACATGATAAATATGCACAAATATATTATGATCGGATTAGAAATCACAATATTTCTTATAAAAAACTTGCATAAATGTGATGTTGAATATAATTTGAAATTAGAATAAAAAAGTTTAGCAAGAAAAGGAAAGTGTAAATGGTAATTAGAGAGACCTGAGCATCGAACATGTTCATGTACTTGATGTTGGTGTTGGAGTCAACTCGTCCGGCGTTGGGCTGGAAAAGGCAGAAGGCAAGGTTATCGGCTCTGCCAGGGTCGCTTCGGTAGGCAAAGTAAGGATAAGGGTTGATGGCAAAGGGAGAACCCGTGGCATTGTTAAACGACAAGAGCCCCTGCAAAACGGAATCAAACTCGGGGTGGAACCTTCCGGCGGAGGGAGGCTCGGAGTCCCGGAGCACCGCCATGGAGTGCACCGTGGACACCTTGATCTTCCCGCCGAGACCGGCGCCGTCCAGGGCGTTCTGCACGTTCTGGATCGCCGGCAGCATCTGGACCACCAGCCCCTGGTCGTTCGAGGTTATCACCTCGTTGCCCACCGTCACCAGGATGATGTTGCTCGCCGGGTAGTACGCAACCACGTTCGTGCTCACCCACGTTTTCGCGAAGTTTGGGTCCGAGGCCAGTCCCGGAATGTCGCCGTTCGCCGCTCCGATCACGATTCCGATTCCCGTGTTCGCCAGGGCTTTTATTATCGCCGGGTCGGTTCCGTACAACCGGACCTTTCCGATCGCCGTCGACTGGAGCAGCTTCGCCGTCGCCGTCGCCGGCGGCAGGTTGTCGGCGACTTGGCCGTAGTTGACGCCGATGAACGATTCGGAACCTGCACAGAGCAATAACGGTAACTTCACTTTCTTGTTTATCTCATAAGAGAGAATAGAGTAAATGAAATTATTTCAATAGAGCATGACTTGTATTATACTATTATTACTATTACTACTAGTACAAGTAATGTAAACCTAAGCGTTGATACGAGGATTTTGAGAGTTGAAAATGTGTGAAAATTAGTTTGGTTTGGGGATAGAAGTTTAATTTGATGTTGAGTGATGCAAGAGTTTGTTGATGTAGGAAACTTACTTGCGAGGTTAAGAGTGAGAAACAGTGGAAGCAAGGAAAGAAGAAGAAGTGCCATTTGGGAAGTGCGATTGTTTTGTCAGTTTTGTTTTGTGTGAATGGAGAGGTGTGAAGGGGGTAATATATAAAGGGAGGGAAAGACGGACATATGAGGGTAAAACCGTAAAATTAAAAGGGTCAAGTCTTTCATTATGCATTTAGAATCTAGAGTATTAAAAGTAACATACATTATTGGTCGTACACTCATACTTGAAGAACATATATACCCCCGATTATGTGTTGCATAAAATATTATATAATAATATATATAATATGGATGAAATCAGTTCACAAGTAACATACATTATTGGTCGTAGACTTATAGTTGACGAACATATAGTCATATATACCCCCGATTATGTGTTTTATAAATATATATATATATATATATATATATATATATGTATGAAGAAGGATTTACTTATTTCATGAGTAAGTTTTTGTATACTAATTCAATTGATATACATGATCTTGATTATAATATTACATAATTCAATGATTAGATCATTTAAATTTACATAATACAAATGTCACACACATATAAAGTAATTAAAAATATAATTAACTAAATAAAAATGTAGATAACTAAATTTGAGTTTTAATATCTTATTCTGTCTTTTTTCAATACATGAAAAAACACTAGTGCAAAAGAGACTTTTTACATTTGTTATTTTAAGGTTTTTACGTCAGAAAAACGTTCGACGTTAATGCGGGAGACGTAAATTTACGTCGTCTTTTAAGATCGACGTAAATTTACGTCAGAGATTTTTGAACACAGACGTAAAAAATTGTAAAACCAAAAAAAAATGCTGGAACGGCCCATTCTGCAACTAGAACGGACCGTTCTCCTTGTAGAACGGGTCGTTCTACTTGCAGAAGGGTGTTAATGACATTTCTATGTTGTGTACAACTGCTATCATTGGAATCGATACTGAGAGTCGTGTCCCTAACTTGAACTGGTAGTCTATATTCAAGATCCAGAAGGCCTTGTACAAATTTTACACTCCTTGTCATACTTTGCTCCTGTCTGCAGCCGGAGATAAACATTATGATACCATGCAATCTGGTGAATAAAGAAAATAGAAAAGCGAAAGGAGCGAAGAAGATAGAAAAGGAACCATTCGAACGTAGGAAAGGAACGAAGAACGTAGGGAAGGAAATTGGAGCGCTCCCAACCGTCGGCTTCATGACTAGTGGATATATAAAAAACTATGTAACTGATGTCCGACATAGATTATTAAATTTACGTCAGATCCTATGTAGTCCGACATAAAAAAATTTACATTATTTTCAAAAATTTCACCGCGTTATTTTTACGTCAAATATGTTTAGGTCCGACTAGAAAATATAGACGTAAATTATGACTTTTGCACTAGTGAAACAAAAAGTAAAGTTTTATACATTATTATATTTTGTTTAACAAGGTCTGCCGAACACGTTCTAAAAGTAATGTTGATTTTCAAATTTTTTTAATTCATTAAGTAACATATGTGGCCACTTTTAAATTTATAAAAGCGAACATTAAAATCGATGACTTCAACTTGAATGATACCAAACGGCTTTTTCTTACGTGTTAATCAAAGAACATTCTCTCTCGGTCGAGCTGAAGCCACATAAAAGTGAGAGGGTTTTGTTTTGAACGAAACAGAAAGTAAAGCATTTAATTTCAAAAGCAGCACGTTCAAATGTTAAATCGTTTGTGGAATGATGTTTTGCTTGAGGAACCAAATAAAGAGCAAGGAAACTCCCACAAGGTTAGCACAATTCAAGCGCCAATATAACGTTTGATTTTCAGCAGTTCAGTAGACAATTTCTGTTAGAGAATGATAGATCTGAATAAACTAAGTTGATGTGTTCATTATTGTTGACTGTAGCTGAATAATGAATACGAATAAATATTCATTAACACAACACCTGAGATCTTGTGAACAATAATACTTTATCTTCATGTGCTGACATGGTAACTTTGTTCCATCTTCATAATATTTTATCTTAATGTAGTAGCACGGTAACTTTGTTCCAAATCAAGGTATAATCAACTATTCAGGTGTGTGCATATTCAAAATCTTATTCGTTGTGTTCACTGCAACCCACACATTGATTTAATCCAGTCGTTAATGAAGGATATTATAATCCTATTTAATATAAGTTTAGAAGTATTTTTAGAATTTTTTTTATTGAAATGTAAAATTTTTATGATAATTTTTTTTTAAAACACTTTTAACTTTTATCCAAAAATATTCTATATAAATTGAACTTAGATTCGATTCTTAATAAGAATTGAAGATAAAGATATATATATATATATA